ATGGTGGTGATGTGTGACATATGGTGGTGATGTGTGACATATGGTGGTGATGTGTGACATATGGTGGTAATGTGTGACATATGGTGGTGATGGGTGAAAACTGTGGTGGTGTGTGACATATGGTGGTTATGTGTGACAACAGTGCTTTTTTGCACGTTTGCGGATTTCCGTGTTTCAAATTCTCAGAAAGATACTTGTTTGCATTGAATATAAAACCTTAGATCGACAAAGTCTGTGGCGCATGCCATCACAATTCTGTGTCATTCTCATCCCTGGCTGTGGTGACGCATGGCCGCTGCGTCAATGCACGTACGGCGAGTAAAACCTCTGATAGCTGACACATCTGTCTATCGTGTCAGACATCGGTATTGACATGCATCCTTACCATGATCATTACAGTAAAACCTCTGATAACTGACACATCTGTCTATCGTTTCAGACATCGGTATTGACATGCATCCTTACCATGATCATTACAGTAAAACCTCTGATAACTGACACATCTGTCTATCGTTTCAGACATCGGTATTGACATGCATCCTTACCATGATCATTACAGTAAAACCTCTGATAACTGACACATCTGTCTATCGTTTCAGACATCGGTATTGACATGCATTCTTACCATGATCATTACAGTAAAACCTCTGATGACTGACACATCACTATCGTTTCAGACATCGGTATTGACATGCATCAGAGCGACATGATCCGTTACGACTTCCCCGACCGCGGCATGCGCACGACGGTCACCGAGCGTATCCGGGTTGGCTTCTCCACCGTCGACCGCAAGGGTCTGCTCATGCAGGTGCGCACGTCCGGCGACGACGTCTTCTCGATGGAGATACAGCAGAATGGTACGTGACTGCCTCTCACCGCCGCACCCTGGCGTGTGGCCACCCGCATCTTGTACCGCACCCACGCGTGTGACTGCTCAGATCTCTTTATCTCACACTGCCACCACGCGTGTGCCCGCACACATCTCACCCACCTCTCACCGCACCCACGCGTGTGCCCGCCCACTTCTCACCCACCTCTCACCGCACCCACGCATGTACCCGCCCACATCTCACCCACCTCTCACCACACCAATGTGTGTACTCACCCACATCTTGGCGCCTACCTCTCCCCACCCGTCATCAACGCTCATCCAGCGTGCAGCAGTTCCGATGTTCTCCGTCTGAGATACTTGACATCTTGGCGACTTGTTGTTTCGGCGCGAATGGCTTCAGTTGCTGTCGACAACTTCACAGCTTGTCGGTGTCATCAGACGGTGTCATCCCCGGAGTCTCTCCTGCATTCTCGCAAACAAAAGGAAGTTAGATGTTAACGGTGCGAGGGCAGAGAAGGCAGCAAAGAGAGGCGGATATTCCGATTCGATGGCAGAGCGATGAGAGTCCTGCCTGCATGTCAGCTGCTGCTTCTCGCGTCCTCACCGTCTCGTTGTTTTGCGCAGGCGGGCTGAAGTTTCGCTTCTTCTACGGCTGGGACGTCGAGGAGATCAACGACAAGCGCATTCTCGCCAACGGTCAGCACCACGACGTCATCTTCTACCGCAAGGACGACGGCGCCACCCTCGTCTATAAGGTAACTGACCAGCGGCCGCAGCGTCACCATGGTTACCCTTTGCTGGACTGCGCAGCATACGTCAACGCGCGCTCAGATGTATCGTGCGGTGAAAACGCCTCCGACAAGCCTACCTCTAAATTTGTGGGAGCAGTTTGCTTTTTGGGATTATATTATTATGATACATTATGTTAATATAATATAAGATGATATAATATGGTATGGTATGGCATGGCATGGCATGGTATGGTATGGTATGGTGTGGTATGGTATACTATGGTATGATATGATATGACATGATATGATATAATATAATATAATATGGTTGTTATACATATATATTTCGTTAAGTATTTGTGTGGCACTATACTATTTGTGTGTTTTTAGATTGATGATTATGAGGAAAACATCTTCCCCTTCAATCTCGCTCGCAGTCAGGATACCAAGTTCAATAACTTACAGACCATCTATATTGGCAGAAATGGTGCGCTTCATATGTAACTACATATATACATATTTACTACTATATTATGTGTAATATAATATAAATATAGTAGTAATACAATAATATGTAAGATGACTTAGGATTATGATGTATTAGGAATAGTAGGTAAACTGTCACTTGTTTTACCACTTTTTATTTTGCTTTTTCAGAGACGATGGGGCCTGGGGAAGGATTCCGAGGTTGCATCAGTAGGATGGAGTTTGACGATCTCTTTCCACTGAAATCTGTCTTCACTGAGCCACGGCCAGCAAATGTCTTCATCAATGTGAGCATTGCCTGCCCAGAATACATCCTCCTGTTTTACATCATTCTCAGATCTGATATCCCCCCCCCCCAATGCTTTTGCTGTACAAGTATCAGTGCGCACTCTTACCACATTAGATTCTAATAGGGTGAAGTGGATGATCTACCGCAGGTAGCTGACATCTTGGACGTAATTTCACGGGCGATGCCCGCTCATACCCATTGACAGTGCAGTTCAAGTAGTAACGTTAACTAATTGTCATAATTCATTAATGTTCAACATATTTTTCACGACGTGCGTGTTAGTTCGAATTGACCATGAATTTTACGATAACCAATGCGTCTCGTTATTTGGTTTTCGTCGGAGGCTGTTATCCTCGACTAGCGCGTTTGCTCGCGACTCTCATTGTTCTCGTCGTCGCAGATCAACGGATCGATGCGGCAGTCGAAGTGCCACATTGAGCCGTACACGCACGCTCCGGAAGAGCGAGAGCTGCGCGAGATCACGACGCAGTTCCCGGACTGGGGCGATGAGGAGCACCAGCGCGCACGCCTCGCCGGTACCATCGTGCTCATAGGTGCGTCGCTAGTGTTGTCATACCTATTAGGCCGTGGCTACGCGTCCGGTTACTGGACGCCCAGCTCCCAGGCTACGCGTCCGGTCATATATTTTTTATGTGAACCCAACTATATTTTTTCAGTAAAAAACAATAAACAATAAGTTTTTACCATCATATCAGGCTATTTACCTTTAGGTATTTTATCAAAAAATTTGTTTTTGTAACTTTTGAAGCAATAGTAAAATCTACGGATTTGAAAGGGGGCGTGGCCTAATCGTGACATGGATTTGGGAATCTGTGCTGAGCTTTGTAATGGATGACCGGGCTTGTAGCCACGGTGTATCTATAAATATCCCTGTCATATCTAACCAGTATAGTAAGCTAACGCCACCTATTGTCAACTAATGACACTAGAGTTCACCCTGAAGTAAGGGATGTGAACCCCTCGCTCTCTCCCTCCAAGATGGCTGTATGAGCTAAGCAGTAGCTTACTGTTGCTCTCAATAAAATCAAAGATATTCTTGTCAATCCGTCAAATCTCCTTTGAACATGTAACATGCGCATAGTATCACTTCAGCTAGGGAGCACCCCCTGCTGGGTCATCTGTAGTGGCCTGAAGCAATGCCTCTTCCTGAATTGCTGTTAAAACTCGTGGTTAAATAGACGTCAGTGGCATCTGCTGAGTAGCTGCTAGCTCTGACAGCTGCTAAGTCATCGTCCCACTGTATAAACGCAAGTTTATCGCTATAATTGGGCATGCCAATAGAGTCGACACTGTGTCTGAACATGTCCTCATCGTCGTTTGGTTAGTTATTTATAATAGCATCTAACAGATTTCGAAATCCAAGTAGACATACTTGTGGCATGAAACGATCGTTTCTGTTTCACACTTGGACGTTGCTAGTGCACGTAATATCGACTGTTCCATGCTGTCATGTTATGTATGTGTCCATTATGTATTTCTATTATGTATAATCCTGTTATGTATAATAGCATCTAACAGATTTCCAAATCCAAGTACATTGGATTGAGAAGATCTTCTTTTTTTCACGCGCTCGGACGTTGCTGCTGCACGTATCTTCGACCCGTGCTGTGTCTAACCTGCTAACCTTTGCTGTGTTACAGTTGTTCTGATCATACTCTTCATCCTGCTCGTGCTGTTCGTCGTTCTGCTGTGCCGCTACATCTCGACAGAGAAGGGTGTCTACATGACGCAGGAGGACAAGGGAGCGCAGCACGCTAGCACAGCCGACCAGGCGGTCGTACGCGGGCCGACCGGCATCCCCACCGCTGCCAAGAAGAAGGAGTGGTTCTTGTAAGCGCGCCGTAGCGTTGGTGGCTGGGCTCCTTTGTACATAGCGTCCGTCTGTGTGATGTTAAGCTTGCTGTGGACGAGTGTGATGCATGCTCTGTTTGCTGCAGTCATTGTTATCAGAGGATTGCAACCATTGTTATCAGAGTATTGCAACCATTGTTATCAGAGGATTGCAACCATTGTTATCAGAGGAGTGCACTGCAATGTAGCAGCCGTCTATCAGCATGCAGAGCGGAAGATTGGGAGTGGTCAGATGAATCTGTCGGACAGGAAGGAGAGAGAAAGTGTGAGTGAGCGAGTGCGTGCGTGCGTGCGTGCGAGCGTGCGTGCGCGTGTGTGTGCGCGCGCATGCGTGAGTGAGAGTGAGCGAGGGAGGGAGTGAGTGAGTGAGTGAGTGAGTGAGTGAGTGAGATACATGAACATTAACAGCTAAGTGATTAATAACAACAGGCTCTGTGTCGTAGACGAAAGTAAAGCATATGGTCGGCAAACCAATTATTTTACTTGGTTTGAAACAGCAATAGTACTCTAATAGAAATTCTCAGGAGGTCAGCGTCTCAAGTGTAAGATGCCACAAAGAATTTTAACTGGTAATCTTATCTCTCAAGCGACGACCTTTTGCGCATTCTATGTGAAAGCATGTATTTTTGTAAAACACATGGCGTTTATGTTAGATGTTATTCTGCTTAGCATAATAAAGGGGAAATTTAAGGGATTTTGTACACAGTAGGTCACCTTAGGTTGTATATCTCATCAGGAGTGAATAAGAACTATTTTTTTATTCACTCCAAATGTAATAATTCATCATCGTGAGGCAACGTGGAGACGAGTGGAATCTTCATCATATTTACACATGAGAGTGATAAGGCCTATATATAATGAGGGTCACGAAATTGACTTTATTCCATGAATTGTTGCAACGTTTTGTTTTACCCGTTAGCTTGCATACTCACGTACCTCGCCTGCACATCTAGAAGCATCCACAGTGAAGCGTAGCAGCCGATAAATGTCGGATTATAGCGCATGAATTTTGCATAAAGAAGCATGTAATTTGTTATATATGTGTTGTTGCCGATGCTATACGCTGTACCGGCCGGCCGGTTATCGCGCTTGCTGCGAATCTGATGGGAATGGTGGGAAATCTATAATATATCAAGAGCGTATTAAGTATACTTAGTATACTTAAGTAGTACTTAGGTATACTTAATACGCTCTTGATTATATTAGAAACGTCGCGTGTGATATAGGCACAGGCTGCTGGATCTCAAACGACTTTTGCTGTGAGTAGCTTGAGAAGACACCCACACTTGCCATCATTATTGCGCCTTGCTATTGAGTTTTAATTGCACGAGCAATCTTGTGCACCTTCGCCCGTCCTTTTATCAGATTTTACACCGTTTCTGTTTCATATAGTTGTTTCGATTTCTTGTCGTCTGTATCTCCTTTTGAGATCAACAGGTTTTGTACACCATTGTATTTTTTAGAAAGTTAGGGGGAGATGTAATCTCATATGAAAAGCTAATTTTGAAGGGCCTTATGTTTCCGTTTGTCACCACCTTTAGTGTCGTCTGCTTTTAAACATGGATTTAGTTATTAGGAATTATGATATGAGGATATTATATGAAATTGTTCGCCGTTTCACCACTTGTTTACAATAAAATTATCATGTATACTGATAAGATATTTTATAAGATTTTATTATACTGTTTCTGTTCCAGAAGCTTGTTTCGATTTCATGTCGCCCGTATCTATTTCTCATGGTCCCCACAGCCCTTGAAAGTCTTTGAATTTTGTCCTTTGTCCTTGAAAGTCCTTAATTTTTCCTTTTGTCATTGAAAGTCCTTGGAAATAGGTCCTAGTCCTTGAAATTTCTTTGAAAAAAAAATTTACACTTAACCATGTACTGAGTACCTAACAGTAATAATGTACCATATAGAATCAACCATCACGAAAAACCAAG